AATGAATCAAGCACAAGTTCAATATTTAATTCATTTTTCCTGCTTTTTTTGGTAGCTTTCCTTGTGTTCAGTATGTGCTTACCATTCTCCTGAGCAGTGCCTTTAGTAGGAGCAGTTACCTTTTACTGGTATTTGTAACATAACTTGGCTTTCTTACGCTGAAAAATAGACCACTAAGGAAGCTACTGCATCTGATCCTCTGCTACTTGGTGCCTACCACGTGTATCCCAGATACATGTTGAGGAGGTGGGTGCACAGCAATTCACAGAGGCCTGACAAGAGACATGAGAACAAATCCCAGCTATGAAGTGTTTCAAGGAAATGTTTCAGGAGTTGTGGCTGAAGGAATTCAGAGATTGCTGGCAAGGCAAGTGCTGGAATGAGCACTCATGGTATTCCAGGTGTTAGAATTTTGCATTGAAAATACACAGAGAAGAGCTGCACAGGTGAGGGACTGTAGATGTAGTCCTAGTAATGGGTGAGTTCAGAAGTGCTCTTCCTGAGAATCAGCCTGGCTGTGAAAAGGTCACATGTGAATGCAACTCTTGCAGGTAAAGCCCAGGGCATTTTTCCTCGTGCATATCCCATATGAGACACTCAGGATGTGCAGGATTTGTATCCATGTGCTGTGACCCTGCAGATTGTCACTGTCAGTCTCCACTTCTCTGAGAAAGCAAAGGCATGCAAAGCCTTTCCTTGACCTGGCCAGCACAGCCTGGCCACATCCACCCCCACAGCCCTCCAAACCAGGCTGCCCACACACAGACCTTCCTACAGGAACAGGCAGGGGGTGTGCCAGAGACCCTTCTCTCAATCCAGCAGCACAGCCAGCTCCTTCCCCGGGCCAGCACAGACACTGCTACACTGTCCAACACCAACTTCTCACTGAAGCCAACAGAGAAGGGCGATTAACACCTTTTAGTACAAGAGCCTCCCTCTCATCTACTATTTAAAAGATGTCAAAAGTGAATAAGTAAGATTTGAAGCCTTCTTTTTACTGTTTCCTATGAATAATCATTCAGGTAGAGCCAAATTAAATACCAAAAATTACTTTTGGTGACCACAGAATACATTAATCAGATCATGGTGAATTATGATGAAATGGCATCAGAGCTCATGCACCTGACTAGCTGATGCCTAATAGAGACATGCTGTCTCCAGCTTATAGAGAAATGGCCAAGGCTATATCACTAATAGCAACATAAAGGGACGTGATTACAGGGCAAGATAATGTAGAGGAGGGGGGGAAACCAACAGAAAAAAGGAAATGTAATATCCTGTAAAAATCAAAACAAAGCAAAACACCTTTCCAAGGAAAAGAAAGCACAAAGGGAAAGAGAATAAACAAAAGGAAAAGATACTATGGATTAAAAGAAAATTACCAGGAAGGAGAAAACAAATGAGACTACAGCTTGGGGAAAGGAAAAATATCATAAAAGAGTCTCCATTTAGACTCCTGGAATTGATTTTACTTGCACACCTAATGGCTAAATATACAGTATTTCTCTTAAAAACTTTCATGAGTCAGTGTAGAATGAGAACAGAGTGGAAGATAGTAATTTCAAATAATGGTTGCTGATGTCATTTGAGAAAAGTCTTATTCCTCTGCAGAAAATTCAGCCACTGGGCTTTTGTAGTTAAAATAAAAATACTTTCCACTAGATTTTTTTATAATGAGTTATAAAATCTACAAGAAGAACAAAAGCCAATGCAAGGCTTATGCAAGACTGGGTGATGTGTGTTGCTCTACAGCTGCTGTTGTGTTTTTAATTTTCTTCCATTTATTTGCTTTTTACTCGTTCATTTCCCCGTCTATATGATCTTTCAAAAATTTACTGATATCATCCATGGGTTAACCGAGAACAGAGCCACTGTTATCAGTAGGGAAAACAGATTGTCTGAAAACAAGCCTTTTACAAACAGAGGAAATATCATTACAAAATATATGACCCAAAAGGGCTTACAGCTGTCTTACAAAAGAATTGTTTGGTGGCCTAAATTAGCCATAGCTGAATCAATTTTGTGACAGAATTGAGAGATGATCTTTAAGAAGTGAGGGCTGACAGGGGACCATGGATTGTAGCAAATAATCCAACTTCTGGACCATGGGAGATACACATTTGAAAAATGTATAGAGCAAAAGCCTCAAGAAGGGTGATAGAAGATTTCAGCTCCTGCTGCTGTTTTTGTGAACACTTGAACAGTGTCAAGGGCACAGTTCCCAACACACTGGTACCTGCCATATGTTGGCGCCCACTCTATGTGTAAAGATATTCACCTCTGGCATGAAACATCTTGGGACAATGTGAAGTGTTATAATATCAGCTCTTGAGTACATGATTTTCATGTTACCATCTGCATTCAAAATGCAGAACTGCTTCAGATTTACAAAGATGATGTTTCTGGTATGGACCAGAAACAACACAGGCTCCACAGTGCCAGGTGTGCCATTATATCATCACAGTCCAGCACAACCAGCACAAATGGCCCAAACCCTGGCAAAATGAGCAAACATCCATCAGCCCACCTGAGCCCAAGTCAATATCTCCCCATGGAACTCAGCAGTTTGACCCAGCACACCCTCAGTCCAAACTCACCCTTCCTTTTCCTGCTTCCTTGCCGTGACGTTCGTGCAACATCTGGATCTGTTCTTAGTTAAGGACAGGAAAAGAATGGAGTGAAGTTGCTGTTATTAGCCTTACATATCAGTGCCACGGAAGAGCACAAAGAGTTTGCCTGTATTTTTACATACTCAGTCTGCATTTTCACTGTTTTCTGTCTCTTCCAGTTCCTGCAGAACTCCCAGCTGCAAATAGGCCCACAATAAATGGAACTTTTGCATCAGCCACAGCACTTTGAAACTTGTAAAACTTCTCAGACTTTCCATTCCCATATAAGCTACAATAATTCTGGCTAAACTTTGTATTTAAAATAACTGTACTCTGTATATATATTTCCCTGCATTACGTAATAGTAAAAGAGATCTGGTATCTAACACAGGGCTGAGTGGTTGGGGTTTTTTTCAGTGAGCTACAATAACTCCATATGCCAAAACATTAAAATAGCTCCAGGTTTTTTTTGTAAGTGGGAATAAGGCATATGCAACTTTCTCCATATGAATTTTTTAACCTGCTATCTCCCAAATTTCTTATAAGCAATGTGAGTATGTAAAGTTACTCTTGTTCAAACAAAAATTAACTTCGAGATGAATATTTACCAAAACCAGATTTTTCACTGGCTACATAACACAACAACTTACTATCATGTTTTTAATAAAAAGATACCTGGAGAAATTTTTATAGTAGAAAATGTTAGAAATGGGCATGTTGATTTAGGTAACTGACCATACAACAAAGCTGACTGAAGGTTTATTTCCCTAAACCCATAATGCCAACAAAGTAAGGGCTTGCAACACTACTTTTCACAATGGAAGAAAATTAGCATACTCCTAGGTGGTATGCTTAGTTATTAACTTTAACCTTATGGGAAAATAAAACACATGGAAAATGCTGCAACTCTTAGCCAACAGCTCTTAGTTTATTTGAGGATGGGTTCCTGCTTACAGTTACAATTACCACAGTTGTTCTGGCAATCAAACATGATGGAAACACTGCTGCTAATTTACTAAGCATCATACTCACCTACACCATTCTAGACTTCAAATCTCTTATCTGACTGTCTGTGGTCCTGCTTACTGACTTCATAATTAATTTTCCATTTAGGGTTTTGTCCTGTTCCTTCCCCAGCCAGATTTTGCTCACTAAGTATGTGAAGCCAGCTGGAAAGAATAAGGGTGACCAAACAGGTTATTAAGAAGACACTTATGGGGCTGAGACATGGAAGAAGGGCCAAAATACAGATTTGTGGCCCCTGAGAGGGAGGTGATGGACAAAAAAGAAGCAGCAACCTGCTGAGAAAAGTGCAGACAAAGATTCCCAGAGGAGAGGAAGTCTAATTTTTGAAAGGCTTTTTTGCAGTGGGTTTTTCTGCCCCAGATGACCCTCCTTTTTAGTGTCTGCACAGTTTCCTCCTTCAGCATACATGCCTTCTCCAAGCTGCCCACACCTCATCCCCCAAGCGGTCACTTTCACCTCATTTTCAGCAAAATGTCAGAAAAGGTAAGGGTGAAAGGGATCACAGTGGGTACCTGGGATTCCTGGTCCAGCAGGATTATCCTTGCACAGGAATAGGTGCAGACAGTTCTTGAATGTGTCAGTGAGGGAGGGAGATTCCACTACTTCTCTGGGCAATCTGTTCCAGTGCATGGATACCTGCACAGTAAAGTGTCAGTTAGTTCAAAATTGCAAATGAAGAAAGAATTCCTGTTGTGTTGTGTCTGTATAAGTTGGACTGTTCTGTTCCCCCCATCACGTAATGGTTCTGCCCTGGTTCTCCCTTCCCTCCTTTATGCTGCCAGTTATCCCAACTCTTCCCCAGTTGCCCTGGAGACTAATGTATTCTTTCTCAAATCCTTCCCCAGTGCCCTGTCCGTCACTCGGCACTCCCACCCTTCTCTCTAGAACTCTCTAGAAACTTCCAGCCAGAGCTTCGAGTGATTGGCTCAGGGGCTGGGCCCCACCCGGGCCCCACCCTCAAGTTATCCCCATTGGTGTTCTCCCTATATCAATCTTTTGTATCCCACTCCCCTCTGAAACTCTATTCATCCAAGGACTGACTCCTCCCCTGTGTCCCTCCCTCTTTATAAGCTGTTGCAACTGCTCCCTCTTCCTCTTTGGCTGTTGGTTCCCCTGGGACCCAATAAAGCTGGATTCACCACAGCTGGAGAGCGCTCTCTTATTTCTGCTGACTGTAGCCATAAGCCAAGCCACGTCCTACCACAATGTAGCGCTGCTGTCATAGCACAGAGCGTTTGCCTTAGGTGCTGTCCTAAGGAACCACAGAGATTGGGATAGTGCCTCCCTACTGCTAGCGGTGCTGGAGAGCTGGCTGGGACATCCGAGAAGGACAATCTTTCTCCCACTGGACCACTTCAGTTTTGGCGCCCAATGTAGGGCTCCAACCTACAACCCTGAGATTGAGAGTCTCATGCTCTACCGACTGCGCTAGCCGGGCCTCCCAGTCCAAAGCTGAGTCACCATGCTGAGATACAGCCAGACTGCTTCCACCTTGGCTTCTGGGCCTAATTTCCCATTGGCCCTGTGCTGTTGCAGCTCTGAGTCAGTTAACAGGAAAACGTGGGGAGAAGAGATGCATTCGAGCAGAAGCCCTGCTGAATTTGGACAAGTTTTAGTTTTATTACGCTCTCTTCCTATGTCTCCACTCCTCTTGACTTTTACTTGCCTTTGGGTTAGATCTTTGCTGTGTCACCTCTGTGTCCACTTTGGCTCCCCTCCGCTGGCATGAAATGCTCTGCTGCCAGAGCTGAAAATGCTGAGCCAGCCTCAGGGGTCTTGTGAAGAATGCTGCTCCATTGCTCCATACAATTTAGCTCAGTGTTATTGCTTGTAAAATAATCCTCTTCTAAATACAACCACCTTACAACCACTTTACAGCCTCCTGTGGCAATGAATTCCACATGCTTCTTAAAGACCACATACTTCATTTTATTTACCACTCATCGTATTCTTTGTATAGTTATTACAAGCCAAAGAGGGAGAGAGATACACACATTTATTTTACCATTTCACTGTACATTTCACATTCTTAACCCCTTCAGTCAGCCACCATTTATCAAAGATGACCAAGATTGCTATTCCTATTAAAAAATTAAACATCAATTCTACAATTATGTAAAAAACTTAAAAGATTTTCCACAACCTCCTTCAGATAACATATTGTATATTTTGTATATGCAGCTATCATAACTTCATTCACTGATTAGATCAAGATTTTTCATTTCCTTTTGCTGAAAGATTTTAATTACTTCTTTTAAATAATCCAAAATTTTCTTTGGAGAAATATACATTTGAACTAAGAGTGCGTGAAACTTGTACATGGGTCACATATCTCTAATAAATGTGCCATAGTCCTTTCTCCATCATATTTCAGTTGTCTAATGTGAATATTAAAGCATTATAATTAATTTTCTGGGAAATTTGTTCCACTAAATACTTCAGAACAATTCTCCTACCAGAAAATCCACCTTGACCTACCTTTCAAGCCCCCTGTTGAGTCAATTTAAATAAATTAATGTAACAGCTTGAGTTTTCATGAAAAAGAGAATTGAAATAACTTCTAATTTGACAGCATGTTTACATGTGTTTGTTTATTTATTTATTTATTTATTTATACTTACTCTCATTATATCTGCACTCTTCTTCATCTCCCTCACTTTAGCACATCTCATTTGGAATAGAAAAAAGAGTGCATAGGAGACCCACAAAATATGAAACCTGTTCACATGGGAAGTTCTGGCATTTTGGCTCTTGCCATTGAGCACTTGGAGCTGTAACCCTCTGGTGAATGTGTGCCAGCAGTTTCTGACTTGGCCTGTGAGCAGACACCAGATCATGCAGCCATGGTCTCCAGACAAGGTGTCCTGAGTACTGGAAGCAGGAGACATTTTCGGCAGAATCCTGTGGCAACAAGGATGTGTGTGTACGGCCTGGTAAGGTATGAAAAGGCAGACTGGGATTTCTCTCTTTAAATATACCTGTGTGCTGCTCCAAAAATCTCAGGCTCTTGACCACTGGCATTATAACCTTCTGCTCCTTCCACAGATGAGTTTTTACGTTTCTTCTACTTGAATTCTTAATGCTGTTTGGTGTTGATCTTCTTGTTAAGACTGATTACATTAGACTTGATTAAAAAAAAACATAGAAAGAAAATCATACATCGCTGCGCCATATTGTGCAATTTCAATTATAGCAACAACAACAAAAGGCAATAGACATTTCACAGTCATTCAAAAAACTTTTTTTTTTCCTATTAAGAAGACATTAAAAATTTTAATTCCCCACATTCTCAGTTTGGCTTCCAATAAAAGGTACAGTTGATTGAAATGCTAATGACGGGAAAAGGAGATGAACAAGGAAAGGATTTTATGAATCTACAAAGATGGCTTTGCAAAGACACAGAAAAAGCCAATTATTAGAATGTCTGTCATCAGACATTATCATGTCTGTCATCTGGTACTACCAGAAATGCTGTGTGGTGACCTCCTGGTGTATGCTAGAAATTGTTCACTTGCCTTTACAGGAACTCATCTAAATTTCATAAAGATGAGTAAATGGTGATAGGAATTTTTATTTTCAATTTACTCTTTTTGTCTTGAATTCTAAAAAAAAAAAAAAATTTAAAATGGTGTAAACTCTTTGGTAGTAACCGGAATTCAGCAGGGTTTTTCTTCATGGTTATATTTACAGCAGTAGGGACCTGATAATGTTACAGCTAATTGTCCTAATGACAACCTAACCCAGCATCAAACCCTGTCATTTCCTCTTAGCTCACCTCCTCCTTCTCCAGATACCTGTACATGTGTAAAACAATGTTCATCTTTATTGGCAATGCAGCCATACAAACAGCCATCCTTTTCTGAGATTTTAGTGGGAAATCCAGGAAGAGAAGCCTTAACTCTGTGTGGAAGGATAGCTCCTAGAGACTATCCTGTTCTAGAGACTAGCAGTATAATCTCAGACGCAAATTATTTCCTGTATTACAGCAAAAAATTAACATAAAGCTTAATCTTTTAAAGATATGTTTCTGTATGGCTCATGAGGTTTTCATTTAGACAGCAAACATCCATAAGAAGGAAATCTTCATTCAAAGAGAAAAAAGTCGAGAAACTCTCGGCTTCAAAAATGTTGGATCAAAATGCTACCATGCTTGTATATAAACATTTGAAAATGCAATTCGTGCACTCCAGTTTGCATGAAGTAACTTGATTAATCTATTACAGACCCATAGAATCATCAAGATTGGAAGTGACATTCCAGATTATCCAATCCAACCATCAAAAAACACCTAAAGCATATACCCAAGTCCCACATCCAGACACCTTTTAAACGCTTCCAGAGATGATGAATTCAACACATCACTGGGCAATTTACTCCCATTCCTAACTCCTTTTTCAGTTTTTTTCAAAATCTAATCTAATCTCCCCTGGTGGAACTAAAGCTAATTTCTCTCCTGCTTTCAGTTCATACATGACAGAAAAGGCCAACCCTTACCTCACTACAACCTTCTTTCAGGCAATTCTAGAGAGCAATGAGGTCCACCCTGAACCTCCTTTTCTTCAGACTAAACAACCTCAGTTTCCTTACAGGACTTGAGCTCCAGACTTTTCAATAGCTTAATTTCCCCCACTTTGGATGCTCTCTTCAATGTCATTTTTGAAAGGAGCACAGGACTCCAGGTGTGGCCCCACTGGTGCCAAGTACAGAGGACAATCCCTGCCCTGGTCCTGCTGGTCACACTATTGCTGATACAGGCCAGGTGCCATTGGCCCTCTTGGCCAGCTGGGCACACACTGGCTCAGGTTCAGAAGGCTGTCGACCAGCACCCCAAAGTCACCTTCTGCTGAGCCATTTTCCAGCTGCTCTGCCCCAGCCTGTAGCACTGCCTGGGGTTGTTGTGATCCAAGTGCAGGACCCAGGACTTGACCTTGTTAAACCTCATACCTTTGGGCCATTGATCCAGCCTGTCCAGATTCCTGTGCAGAGCCTTCCTTCCCTCCAGCAGATCAAGACTCTCATCCAACTTGGTGTTATCAGCAAACTGATTGAGGGTGCCCTTGATCCCCTTGTCCAGAACTTTGATAAAGATATTAAACAGGACTGGCCCCAGTGCTGAGCCTTGGGGATCCCCACTAGAGAGCAGCCACCAGCTGCTGTGGCACCATTCACCAGCACTCTCAGGGCCTGGCCACCCAGCCAGCTGTAATCCAGAAAAGGGAGCACCTCTGCAAGCCATGGGCTGCAGCTTCTCCAGGAGAATGCTGTGGGAGATGGTGTCAAACACTTTATTGAAATTTAGACAGACAACAGCCACAGCCCAAAGTGACAGTAGGTCACTTTGTCATAGAAGGAGATCACATTGTTCAAGCAGGACAAAAAGACGTTTTGTAAATACATGTTGGCTCAGCCTGATCCCTGCAGCAGTGTGCTGGGTGGTGGTGCTCAGAAAGATCTGCCATGGCCTTCCTGGTACTGAGATCAGGCTGATGGCCTGGTAATTCCACAGGTCATCCTTCCAACCCTTCTTGTAGATGAGCATTATATTTGTTAATTTCCAGTCAAGTAGGACTTTGGTTAACCAGGACTGCTGGAAAATGAGTAAAAGTGTCTTGGTGAGCTCTTTTACCATGAGCTCCCTCATTCCTCTTGGGTGCATCCCATCTGGAAAAAATTTATTAAATTTATTGAATTTAATAAAGAGCAAAGGCCACTTTGGCAGACTTGTGGAATCCTATAGTATTGGTTTAGGTAGCAGGGACTTGTGAATCTAATAATAGTGGAGGCTTCAAGCCTTAACTCTTCACTGGACATGGACATACAGCTTCCCTGTAAAGGCTTTGTGCTGCTCAGAGCCACTTCTGCAACAGAGTGTAATTCCCACTGTTGAGCCAGTGACAACACACAATGGTGGAAGACAGAGTGACACTTTTTTTCCAAACACAAACCCAACTTCAGAAAAACTTTAAACAGCTTAGAGGTAATAAAACATGAAACTCTGAAAAACTTATAAATTAATCTAAAAAATAAGAACATGCAAATGTGAGAAAAGAGTAAATGAAAGCTGATTTGCACACAGTCAGTGTTAAATGACACTGATTCTAAATCTAGTTTGGGGGACTTACTGTGTTTGTTTGCTTGCATTATATATTTCACATATGTTAATTGTATTCTCATGTCTGCAGAGGTGAAATTTTTCATAATTAGTGCAAAATAAAACAGCTTTATATGAAACAGGCTTAAAATGAAAAGTGTTTTGGCACTTCCACATAGGTGATAATCCTGATAACTTTATATGGACAGAATGCAAGTCTGACAATGAAACAAAAACAACGAAAAAATTAAAAATCCAAAGCAAGAAAGAAAGAAAGAAAGAAAGAAAGAAAACAACAACAACAACAAAACCACCCACAAAAGTGTTGGACTTTTTCCTGGTATTTA